TGCTCTTCTTTGACAGAGATTTTACAGCTCTTTATCCGACAGAAAAAAGATCGTCTTGAGCCAGAATACATATGCATCCTTCCAGTGTGGAAATTACTGTGAACTTGCAAACCAGCTTTCACAGCAGAAGAGGACAAGAAAAGAGGTGGAAAAGAATACTGTCAAAAAAGTTTGTAATTTATCTCCTAACATTTTCTGATGATCTATTATTAAAAATAGAAATGATTATTTAAAATGATGACATGGTTGTACAGTAAACCCTGAAGTGAAATCTACCAAAAATGTATTGATTAAGCAATCACATTTTGATAACTTATCAACACTTGCAATTTATCTTTATTTTTTCCCCAGAGAGTGGATAATAAAGTTAATTTAAATGAAATGAAATAAAAATTTAATGAAAAAACCCTCAACTATGACAGTAATCAGTAGCATAGCAAATCATTATGTTTATAATAATCATTTGGCACTAAGCATGTTCAGAGAAAATAAGAATTTTCAGAGAAGATAAAGACTACTTACACTTCCCAAGCACAATTATACAAGGTCTTTCATATTGAGAAAACCTAACCCATATAAGAGAATAATTGTCTCTCAGCATATAGCTAAGTAATGGAAACTTCAGCAATTTTTTATCCAAAATGATACTTTCTTGTAAAGACTATATTTCTATATGAAATATAGCAATATGAAGCAATCGTATTCCCCCCAAAAAAGCATCTTCATATGAATGTATTAATTTTATATGTTTGTATGAATATAGAAATTTTCTATATGGCTATATAGTTTTTTAAACCCTGAGGGTGACAAATATAAAGTATACTAAATAATTCTCCTCTTGATAAAACTTGAATTATCTGTTTTAAAAACACTGTACTATGCTTTTACGTAATAATTATATTTACATAAAATGATAAGCATGCTGAAATGAACACTTACTTTTGGCATCTACTAGCTTCTCTCTTGGTGAAATTTCAGAAGAACAAAGTTGTTCCTTTACTTTGGCAACATCTTTTGGATGTAAGAAGTCAAATAAGCTTTGTCCAGTCAAACTAGCCTATTCATAAGGTAGACATTTATTTAAAATGAGCACCACATTTTTTCTACATTTCCTGATACAGACATATGATCAATAGCCTTTTTTTGTTAAAGGTTGATTTTTCTCAAGCTCAAAGATACATTCACTATACTGCATAACATTAGCTTAGTCAGCATTGGAAGCAGGGTGTTTGTAGACAGAAGAAAACACATGTGCACAGAACCATACCTGGATATACACACATCATTACAAACACCTAATCACTAATATTCTGTTAAATCTTGTTACTCTTGTTAACATCCCCCAATTCACACGTTACTTCTAAGTCATTATGATTTAAATTTTTTTATCCTTCGTAAAAGGAGAGATATTAAATTATGATATAATATGGAAATCACAAAGTAGCTGTGATTTTATTGTTTGACTCAGAGATTTACCATACTTTAAAAAAAAAAAAATGACCACACTATTGAAAAACAAAATTCAACCCAGAAAGAATAGCTCTAGACTTCCTATTAAACTCTCCCAATATGCGGAGCATGCCTGGGTCTATGCCTTCACTTAGGCAGTCTCATCAGCCAGAGTTCATTACCCCACGTCCATAAACTCAATTCCCTGGCCACACCAGCCAATTGCCTTTTATTCCTTACACTCCCTGGACTCCCTAGATTCCCTCTCCCAGCCGGAAATGTCTTCCTCCCCTTCTCTGCTCTTTTTCAAGACTCCCTTCTGATGAGCCTAGCAGACATTCTGCTTCACATGTGAAGCCCTCCCTGACCCACAATGATCACTCCTCTTTCTGAACTCCTGTATTACCCAAGCAGATATTCCTATAGAAGACAGAACAATTGGACAAGCCGATACAAGTGTTTAATAGTCTGGACTATTTGGCAGTTAGATATCTCCTAATAAAAAAACTAGCACCTAAGAAAGAAAGATTTATGCATCAGTCTATTCTATGTTTGGTCAATATAAGTCTATATCCTGAATTCTCTAAAGCAAATTAGGTTTCTGAATCTGAAAAGCTGAGGACAAGCCCTGCATCATGGGAATCTCAACATCCTCCTGCACAGCCAGTGATTCTCTTAAATGGCCTCTGATGTGCAAAGTCAGTGTCCAGTCACCAATTCCACATCACTCACTTGGAACTTAAGTGCCACCCTGAATCGTCAGTTATCTCTGTGTGTGTACGTGTATGGTGTTTTCCATCTCCAATCAGAAGATGGAATCGTCAAGTCTTAAGTACTTAAAATTTAAGTCTTTAAGTTTTTACCTTAGCAATTTAAAAGACTTGTTAAGTGTTTCAACAAGACTTAAATCATCAAGTCTTGTTTCCCCAGCTATAACCAGCTGCACGATTCATTGTGATTCATTGGTTTTCAGTCCTTCTGTATATAAGCTCATAATACGTCTTTCTCTGTTATTTAATTCATTATCTGTGAATGCCTTATATCCCCCCAAACTTGAAAATAGGCCGAAACTAATGAGAGTTATTCAAGAACAAAGCTGTGATCTGATTTCTGTTGCTGGTTTATTCACTCTGATGGATTAGTTTCAACGCTACAGTTTTTGAGTAGCTGGTTTAAATTAAGTGGTGTTCAGTAATTAGGAGGTAAAATATAATAATAATTACTAAACCAGTTAAATAAAAGGTGCGTTTCAGTGGGTGTTGTCATAGATTAGATTAAAAGCTGTTATGCAGTTCACATAACTTAATAAACAATAATGCTGTCTCTTGGAGGGAACAGAGAAGGGCAACCAACACTTTCCAGGCAATCCCAAATATGACCCCTAATTTAGTCTTTACATCTTGAGAGAGAAGTATAATCATCATGTCCACTTTTTACATAAGAGGAAGGTGAGGCCCAGTGAAATTAAATAACTTGCTGAAGATCAGAAAGTGAACACTAATGTCAGTAATAAAAATCCATACTCTTCCCACACATCTTCCCATCTCTCTTGGAGTTCTAATTTAGCAGAACCTAATCTGACATCCCCATGGGAAGAGTTTAGAAAAACAGCTTCGAAATATGTGTTTGCTCAAAAAATTAAACACTGTGTGGAAAAGATCCTCAGTGTTAGATACCTGATCATAATTAAGTGTTTTGGAGACTGACTTAGAAACGAAGAGAATTCTTCCTCTTTCACATCCAACCACAAATAGGAAGCCTTCTGCAGTCTAGGATTTAAAAATAGAAAAGCAAATATTTTAAAATATCTTCTGTCTCTTTCACACACATACATATTCAGATTTTGAGGAAATTATTGTGGCAATAAAAGTAACAGAGTGGTTGGTCATAGAACTAGTAAAATTAATTTTAAGAAATTTTCTTAAGACATAAAAAGATTTATAAAGATCATATTGAATCACAGTATAAACTCATGTTTTTGACATGGAAAGTTTAGCCATGGAATACTTAGTTGAGATATTTTCTCATACTAAAATCAAAATTACCTTTACCAAATTCTACCACACTGCATACAGAAACTTTGTAAAGATACCAAAATATATCAATAACAACTACTGCCCATGATGTGCTGAGGTGGAAGGAATGTGAAAATTGGGAACAGGAAGCGCTGAAGACCACTTACTGTATACCTTCTTATACTTTTGCAATAATGATAAAGTATCACTTATTCTAAACTAAATTTTTAAAATGCTCGTGTATCACCTACTCCCATAATGTCTACCCAGCAAATCCCTGGAGAAGCAACTACGTGGCAGTAGATGTGTGTGGACACACAGGGTAAGTCTGGCACTCCTGCCTGACATGGCCTTGGACTCATTTTTACCAACTGGAAACAAACATGAGGTGAATTAGGCAGATGTGTTCTGTGAGGGCAGAACCAGGGTTATATGAAGTAATGGCTGTAAAAAACACTTAAAGACTAGTGAGAAAGCTTCAAAAGCATACCATTTATATTTTGCTATCTTTAAAAATCTTTTTTTTAATCTGCAAAATATCCTTTATATTCCTGCCAGGAATACTATACTTTAATTAAGCTGTTCAAATAAAAGAGTAGCTTTATAAAAAAAAAAAGAAAAATGGACAAAGATGTATATGAAGGATCTTTCTATTCAATCAGACTTAAAGCCCAGTATGTCACACAGCACATGACCAAGCCACTTATCACCTCGTGGGGGCAGGATAAGCCGTATCAATCAAAATATGATCGATCATATTTTCCATGTCAAATAAACCTCTAGACTGGGGAATCTGAAAAGCCATGTATATGAAGTGATGGGGACAGAAATGTCAAAGCATCCACTAATAACTCATCAAGCAAGCAGCGACCGGCTTCTGCAGAGACCAGGATCCAGAAGGAACAGGACAGCAGATAGATGGCTTTGAAGGAGGTGGTAACAGTGGGGACTAAATCAGTGGAGTGAGAGATGAGGGCATTAGGGAGTAGAAAGAGCTAAGCATTAAAGACAAGCTTTGCTCCGTATTTTGGCAAGTGCCTATTCTCTTTCTCCATGTTCATTAGCCCAAATTAATGAGACACGGCTACGTCTATATTTTAAATTTCTATATTAAAGGAAATATGGTGTAATATAGAGAAAGTCCTGTATGTTTACAGGAAGCAAACTGAAGAAAATTTGTCTCCCATTCAAATAAAAATGAAAGCACATATAAACTTTGACAAATATATCTTTACTTACTTTAAGGATTAAGTGTCTGAGCTCATTATCCTGAATAAATGAAGGTCTATAATTATCTCCTGCATAAGAATTTGTCATGCCTAAAAAGAAACAAATCAAAAATTACTGAAAATATAGTAGAGAGGGTGATGTGCTCAGTGCTCAATGAACATTAGTAATACTGCTGCTGTTGCTATTGCTGACGATATTTTCTCTTTTAGCACATTCTAAGAGTCTTCTGTAATCATTTTCTTTCTTTATTACTAGATTAAAATTTCTTACTTTCAGATTGTGAATTAATTCTTAGAACTACTTATAACTTTATACTCAAATGTGCAGAGTAAGAGCTGTATATAAGAAAGCATTATAATAAAATGTACTTGCAACAATATTCAAGAATCCATATGTAGCATGGTTTCAGTTATCCATGGCCAACCACGGTCCAAAAATAGGTGAGTACGGTACAATAAGATATTTTGAGAGAGACCACATTTGCATAACTTTTATTATAGTATACTGCTATAATTGTTCTATTTTATTATGTTAATCTCTTACTGTGCCTAATTTGTAAATTAAACTTTATCATAGGTATGCATATATAGGAAAAAACAGTATATACAGGGTTCAGTGCTATCTGAGGTTGCAGGCATCTGCTGGGGGTCTTGGAATGTATGCCTCATGGATAAGGGGGGACTACTACGTTATTTTGGTAATTACTTAGCTTATTAACACTGACTATATGAATTACGCTGAATGGCAAAATTCTGGAATTCTAAACAAATTTTATGGATTCAGGGGATTTTCCAGTAAGAAAACGCCTTTAACGACAGTATGGAGACCATTGTTCTGATAAATGCAAAAATGCATAAAATATAAATGAAATAATTCATTTTAAGCCCTAAGCACCAAGTTATTATATTATAATGGAAGTCTCCAACTGAAGAGACGTCAAAATGATAAGGAATTATCAGGCCAAAACCAAGGTAACAGTTTGACCTGAGAGGAGTAAGAGAAGCACCGAAACCACATTTGTCATGAGGGCATCCACCAACCCAGACATATGGCCACAGAGGGGGTGTAGGGGACAGTCCCCAGGGGACAATTCAGAAGTAAATCAATTTTCCCTCCCTTCTATTCCCCAAACTCGCTAACCCCTGTCCCCTCTTCTGGGGGACTGCAAGAAAAAGTTGCTCTTGCAAGAGAAAGGTGGGGTAACACTCTGAGATATTTTAACCACAAATTGGCCCCTGGATGGATCTGCAGTCGAAACTCACCAGTTAGCTAAGTGGTGGTGATGGTAAGGGGAGGTGGGGCAGTGGGGTTGGGTGGGGGGCATCAGAAAATCAAAAACACCTCATGCTATGATTTGACAGTTTTCTCAGACTCATAGCCCTCCCTAGGAGCCTGGCATAGGCAAAAGAAGACCTCCTCTGTTGGACTCTATTCTAGGCCTCAAAGAATTCTCCCAAATAATTCCTTGGTATTATAATTATTACACAGCAGCCTGGTAGGACTATAGGAGGAGGAAGCTGAGGAAGGGATGAAAGACACGGACTCTGAGTGGTAGGCCAGGGTAAAGGAATAAATCAATTTTGATCAAGGCAGTGGCATTTCCAGGTCTGGCCTGAAGCAGGCTGGCGCAGCACATGCAGCAAAAGTGAGCTGGGGAAACCCTGTCAGTGCACACCAGACAGGATGGCGGTGTGGATGGGCACTTGACCGCTGCACCTCTGCTCAGAAGGGCGATGGTGAAATCTACGCCCTGTTCCGGGGAATCCTCTCTGGATTAGACAGTGCCTCCTCCCTGCTGCGCTTCCAAGCCTCGCCTCCCTCTTGCACCTCTGCCATGACATCTGTCATGCTAGGTTCTAATGAACTCTTCCTAGGTCTGTCTTCCTCATCGGACCATGAACCCCTAGCAGGCAGAGACCTCGCCTCATTCACCTTGATGTCCCCAGCACAGGAGTGTACCTGATGTTCAGTCCATACTTGTTGAACTAGTTGATGCATGGCTTTTCCCTTAGGTCACATTGCTAATGTGAAAACACTTGGGTAATTTTAGGGTTGCAACCAAATGACCTCTGTTGAACCTGCAGATTTTCACTGCTAAAGGATTTAAGGAAAATATTGCATACAGTTTATGCAAGCCTCAGTTGAGGGTAACAGAGTCACTTATTTCACAATAGACTGTTATGAAAACAAGATCTCCTGTCACGCTCCCAAGAGGAAGCACCAGGAGTCGGGGTTACTGCTGCTCTCCTGTAAGACGCCTCGACCCAACTTGGCAGAGTCCCTGTATTGTGCTCATACAATGTCCATTTCCCTGAAACAGATTCTCTTTTTCCTGGCATGCAGTGTTAGAGATCTAAACTAAGACCCTTGGTCATCCTTTGCTCATTCCCTTTTTATACTTTTTGAGCCAAATTCCACTATAATCTTTTAGGTCTTTATAATTCTTAACTTTCAGAATCTCCTCTGGGGTCCTCAGCCTGCTACTTTGCCAGGTCTCATCTTCTCAATACAAATTTACATCACAAACATTAGTAAATTGAAAACTCAATTCTATTTCCAGTACCCTCCCCCAAGGTGGACTGCGATTATTTCCAAAAAGATATGACTTCTTTTTTGTTTTCTTTTTTTGAAACAGGGTCTCGCTGTTACCTGGGCTAGAGTGCAGTGGCATCATCATAACTCACTACATGCTCAAACTCCTGGGCTCAAGCGATCCTCCTGCCTCAGCCTCCCAAGCAGCTGGGACTGTAAGTGTCACCATCATGCCTGGCTGATTTTTCTATTTTTTTTTGTAGAGACGGGGTTTCGCTCTTGCTCAGGCTGGTCTTGAATTCCTGGCCTCAAGCTATACTCTCACCTCAGCTTCCCAGAGTGCTAGGATTACAAGCATGAGCCACCACACCTGGCCCCCTCAAACCAGATGTGATTTCTACTACACATATATACATATGATTTATTACACTTCTGTTTAAAATTCAAACTCAGGTCGGGGAACTGCTGAAGTCAGGAATGATCACACACATACCCAGAGGCAGTGGCTGGGACCTCCCTCCCCTAACGTCTCACACGTGGGAGATTCCTCAGAATAGTAAGGCATGATGCATTTTAAGGCACTACACATGAATCTGAAGTTTTAAGAGAAATTGCTGAAGTCAAGAAGATATTTTTCCCAAAGAATAGCAATCTCCCAATAACTTAAAATTATAATAATTAATACTACACTTCAGAACTTCTACAGCATTGAGAGGTATGAAGGGCAGGTAACATTTTCTTCATATTACACATGGGAAAACAAGAAGAAACATAAACACTTTCTAAGGTCAGTCACATGGGAAGCTTCAGATAACACTTTGCTTTTATGAGAACTAAATTTTCTGACATCTAATTTAGGATTCTCTCCACAGACTATGGACACGCATCAAAATTAATGCCTATAAAGCTGAAAGATACATTGATACAGAATCTCCACAGCTGATAACAAAATAAACCCATCAGAGACCTCGATTACAGAGAAGACTTCACAAACCCAAGTGTGAGGCCATCTTCAAACTCACCTTTTAAAGATTTCAAGTGCTGCACAGCCATTCTTAAAACTGAAAGTTTGTCCAGTTTACGTGCCACAGGTTTGCACTGAGGAATCATTGCAGACAGTTCTTCAATCAGGTTATTCATTTTATCTCTCCTCCGCTTTTCAGTTTGGCTATGAGCTTCTCTACGAGGGAAAAAGCACCTCCTTTATAAGTAACCCTAAGCAGACCCCCGGTCCCCCCAGGGGCTCTCGCTCACTGGAGCAGGCCTGGGCCCTGCAAGCACACGCTGCTCTTCCTCTCAACGTGGGCCTTGCAGGTGCCAACGAAGGGAGAGGAAAGAGCTGCTGGGAGCAGGAACAGTACTCATAAAACCCACTGCCCTTCTTCAGTCCCACCCTACCTTATCTCCTGAAGCTTTCCAGAACCAAGCCATGTGTCTGAGAGCCAGGGTGGTTTTCCTGCCTCCCTCCAATCTTAGAGGAAGAGATGGGTGCCCTTCCGTTCCCAGTTAGCTCCTCTCCAGTGTCTGTGTAAACAGTTATCAACATCTTAACCTCGTTCTCTTCACAGCTCTTTATCCTGGGTCTGTGAACATGCTCACATCTCCTCTCTCTGAAAAAATACCCTTTCCTTAATTCTGGTTGCCTTCCATTCTCAGCAAGATCCCTGAAAGTGTGCAGTCTCCGCTCCCAGGCACATCTCCACCTATAAAATCAACCTCCCACGAGCCCTGCCCCACTGACACTATGCAGCAAAGACCATTTTCTCTCTCACCATCCCTCACTGATCCCAGCCTTCAATCTGACCCTGCTGACATTCTGTCGAATCCTAGCTCTAATTCTAGAAATCTAGAACTGTAGATTCTACTTCTTAAAATATTTCTGAAATACATCTTCTCCTCCTCCCCATCTGCTCTGTCATTGCCTTAATTTAGGCCCATTGCATTACCCTGAAAGTCTTTTAAACTGATGCTCTTTCTGGTGTCTTCCTTTCCCAGTCTATCCTGCAACTTCTAGAATTACTTTAAAACAAATCAAACCATCTAATCCCATTGCACAAAACTGCTCACTGCATTTCTGCTGCCTATGAGGAACAGCCAGAGTCCCTAATTACATGCCAAAATCTCCAGTTTCAGCATCTCTCCATGTCTTTTCCCAACAGCTCCACACAGCAGCAAAGCCCAGTGACTTGTTAGTCCTCACACATTCTCTCGCATCTCCATGTCTTGACCTTTACTAGGCTTAGAAAGTCCTTCCTTTCTATGTTCTTGGAAAAATCTTATTCTTTCTTCAAAACCCAGCTCAGTTAGTCTCCTGGGAAACTTTTTCTGATGACCACATGATTAATCACTCCCCTCTGTAAGCTACACCGGTACCTTTTATACCTCTACCATATTTCAACGAATGTAAGATGCCGTCAACTGTAAGATGCACTATTATTTAATGCATCCCTAGGGAAGAAATGCTGCCAATTAACAGAAAGATGCCACTGAAGATAAGACATTTTCACAGACAATAAAATGTAGAGGAAAAAAGTACATCTGAGATTTCAAGAACTACGCAGTTGTATTTCTCACGCTTTGCTGTAAACGTGTCTCTCTCTCCCACACACTCAGATCACGGCAACTCCAGACTTTCTACATTAGCAGAGCTTGGGGGGCAATCTGATAGGAAAGTGTGATCAGTGGGAGACTTGCCCGATCTGTTTTTGCAGAGACTTTAAATTAGATGAAAGAAAATATAATTTTTCCAGATAAAAGAGTGTGTATGTGGGTAGGGAGGAGCACCAATGGGGACTGAGGGAGCTGTAACAACACTCCCCTCCCCAACGAGTCACCCCGGCAATGCCACTCCTAGAACAAAATATGTACTTCTGGGGAAACAGGATGGAATTCAAATCACATGTGTACTTATACAAAATTTAGCTCTCTACTCATACTTTTAGTTTATTCATGAGCAATTAGATTAAAATTGTGTGATTAAAAAAATGTTGGAGTTACGCTCTTGCTAGAATGGTCACCTCTTTTTTCTACCAGTATCACCCACTGGCACAGACAGCTGCCATGGACAGAGACGCCCAACTCCAGGATGTACAGAAGAATGGCAGAAGGGGTGTTCTCTCCCACAGCCAGGACTTAGAGGGAGATGAGAGCAAGGTGGGGACTAAGACTTCTCTGAAGAACAGTGAATGATGATGGGAGAGCCAGGAAACCCAGAGGAAAGGGAAACAACCAGTGTTTGAATAAGCTGCTTTACTTGAAAGAGCCGCAACTGAAAAGATTTCTGGAGGATTTTATTAAGGGCATATTTATCCAGAAGCTTGTTTTCTGTTTAATGATTCCTCAGGGCTCTGGCTCCTAATTCTTTGTTCAGTTACTGCCACTTTGAACCATGGTCCTGTTTTGTAGAATCATATCAGAAAACAGAATAAATGAAGAAAAAAGCAAAACTTAGATCTGGACAAGTTGTCAGACGCAGAAAAAAATTTTACGTTGTGTTGAAAGAATGTGTTAAAATAACCGACACAGAATGTGTGATGATGGATTTCTAATAATCGGATACCCTGTAATTCTGATCTGTTTATATCATGAATCAGTTTTTCTTTAGCACCTAAAGAAAGTAATAGTTATTTTTAATAAATAGCTATTCAAAGAGAAATTTAAAGGCATAAAAGCCAAAATGTTATTCAAGTAGCTAGAAAAGTACGTTAACAAGTGCCTGATAACACTGCTTCTCAGAGCATAACAAGAGAGAAAAGCCAAATATTCACCAACCCATCCTATCCTGACATCACCTTTACCTTTGGCTAAGGGCCTGCATGTGCGACTTTGTTCACCCACCGTGTGTCATCTCAACAATTCAATGTACCTGACGGACTTCATTTTTACTTGTTGTTCACCATCTTCCACTCTACAAAAAAGCAGGATAAAATATCAAACTACAGGAAATAGCTTTTCTGTAATTCTTGAGGGAGAAATAAATGTGAGATTAAGTCCAATCATGCTAATTCCTATTAAATCTTGCACTATACATGCTACCTTGAGCACCTACTGACCAGAAATGATTATTACTGTCTACATGAGCTGTTCTCCTGCTAATGCTGACAGGTAACACCATTCCCATAAGGGTGACAAAACCTACATTAACTGACAATGAACAATAATTGGTGCTCTATTTAGAAATGATCTCATGCCAATCTTGAGAAGAAAATTTTCATAGAATTAACATTAAATAATTATTTTTTAAAACCATTGATGGCTTAACCAAAAACTTTATGACAGCCATATTAAAATGCCCTGAAAATGGATTAAGAATCTCAGACCTGGCTGGGCGTGGTGGTTCATGCCTGTAATCCTAGCACTCTGGGAGGCCGAAGTGGGCGGATTGTTTGAGCTCAGGAGTTCCAGACCAGCCTGAGCAAGAGCAAGACTCCGTCTCTACTAAAAATAGAAAGAAATTAATGGGACAACTAAAAATATATAGGAAAAATTAGCCGGGCATGGTGGTGCATGCCTGTAGTCCCAGCTACTTGGGAGGTTGGGGCAGGAGGATCACTTGAGCCCAGGTGTTTGAGGTTGCTGTGAGCTAGGCTGACGCCATGGCACTCACTCTAGCCCCGGCAACAAAAGTGAGATTCTGTCTCAAAAAAAAAAAAAAAAAAAAAAAAGAATCTCAGACCTTTAATCAAAAGGAATTTATTTTGCCAAAAAATCCATCTGGATGGTAAGAAATATAAAAACTGAGAACTCTGATCACTTTCCAATAATATTAATTTTCACATTAGTATAGACCTAAGCATCAGAAATGTGCTCACCAGGCCACTACTGAAATGAAATACGCTGATGGTGATAGAAGACCTTCAACATTAAAAATTTACACAGGTTCATTTTTTTAAAAAAGTGTATTTTTAAAAAGTATCATTTTGGGAGGGATTTGAAAAATGCAGGGCAAAGCACCCACAATCCCACCTGGAAATAATAACAGTTAACATTTTAATGTGCCTCCTTCCAGTCTCTTCCCTAAACATACAGATAAAACAACTATTTAACTTAGTCATGGGGTATGTGTATGTGTGTGTGCATGTATGTGCATACATGTGTGTAGTGTGTTGTGTAAATAGTCCTGTGTTCTACATAGATAATAAACAAAATTCAGATCACAGTGTATAACTTTTCATATCTTATTTACTAAAAACTGTAACATGAATTTATAATCTAATTTCCCCAAGTTTCAAATATTCTTAGAGAACATGATTTAAAAATGATTAAATAGTGGGCCACTGATTAGCTATACTATAATAGCTATTGTTGGATATTTTAATATCATAATATTTTCAGTATTATAAATGATATGGCTAATAAATTGTAGTGCATGCATCTTTGTACTCTAGGGGAACTTTCTGGAAGTACAATATGGATAACTATTTTAAGCATTCCTATTTATCTTACTAAATTTCCCTCTTGAAAGACTTAAAATGAACATTTTCCAGGCACTGAAAAAAGTCTGGCCTACCTTTGAACTATTTTATTCATTTGAACTCTGAGTTTTTAATAATTTTTTTACTTAAAAAAAGGTATTGCTGTTTATGGAAAATTTAATCAAATTTATGGAGAGATGCTCAAAAATATTCCAAATGAAAAGGACCACGAAGATATAAGCTTAATCAAATGGTGCTTTTCCTTCTCATTGTCTAAATAGAGTTTTCACATTTATAGTACTTTATTAAAAATATTTTCACATATGTTATTTGAGTCTCATGACATTGTGATGTCGCTATTACTATGCCCATTTTATAGATGAAAGAACTGAGGCCCAGTGAAGTTAATGACTGCTCAAGGTCATGTAACTAATAGGAGGCCAAGTGACACTTATTCTACGCAGGCTGGTGTACCTTCCACTATACCCTGTCTCTCCATTGTCAGTCTGCTGTGTGACTGGCACATATAAAATTAAAGAGCTTCTCTGAAGCAAAAGAGAGTATCAGATTAAGTCAGCTTCTTTTTAGCCTGACTTCATATTAAGGGAATAAAACAGAAAATAATTATACAAGTGAATGATTTTCTTCCTAATGGTCTGGAATTACACACAGTCATCCCTCAGTAACTGGGGTGGGGAGGGGGAGGATTGGTTCTAGGGCCCGCCACGGATACCAAACTCCAAGGATTCCTCATATAAAACAGCATAGTATTTTCACATAACCCACACATATCCTCCCATATACTTTAAATCATCTCTAGATTACTTATATACCTAATACAACGTAAATGCTATGTAAATAGTTGTTATTCTGTATTGTATAGGGAATAATGACAAGAAAAAGTTTGGACATGTTTAGTACAGACCCAATGTTTATTTTCGATCTTTGGTTGGTTGAATCCACGGATGTGGGACCCACCAATACAGAGGGCTGACTGTATACATATACGTTACTTCACTTTTGAAAGGTAAACTTTGGCTTTTTAAAATTATGTCTTTGCTTTGATTGTCAGTGTTTTAGCAAATGAACTCACTGAGTGAACTTGCCTCCTTAACGAAATCCAGATATACGGTACTTAGGAAATCCAAAGACCCTTTTATATTACGGTCCCTGGTAGAACAGAATACAAGGCATGATCTTGCTGGTCAAACAACTCATTTCTTTGTTTGTAGCACAAACCTAGATAATTAGTAAATATGCTATTTGTATATTTTCTCCATGCTGGCATTTGGTCTATATTCATATTTTTACTAATGGATTTTAATAAGCTTTCTGATATTAATAATATTCACATTATTTAGACACATTTTCTTAGTATGGCATCTTACACTACAGTAACATAATTATTCCAAAACTCAGTGCAAGGTCTCCTTGAAAACTACTTTCACTGCATTTTGAATGAAAGGTAGGCACTTTTCCAAACCAACCACAGGCAAATGAAGTCAGAAGCAGATACAGTCTCAAACTAGTCTCCAGATTCACCACTTTTTGAGACCCTGTCTTTGAACTTGCTTCCTCCGGTGTCTGAGATACCACACCCACCTCAGAGCCACGCCTTCTCTCATTTGGGGCAGGCTTCCCCTCCACCTTTTACTGTCTTTAAGTGACTGCACTTCCAGAGCACACCCTCAGCCCCCCGTCTTCCCAATCCATACACCTCTTCCAGGGACGTAGCCCACACCCATCACTTCAAGTGCTTCTTGTTCATTAACGACATCTGAAACTCTATCTCCAGGCCAGGCTTCAACCATGAGTTCTAGACTCTTGAGTCCTGCTTGAAGCTTCCATAAATAGCCCATTCTTAGTGTGTCCACAAGTGAACTCATCATCTTTCCCTCAATCTCAGTGAGTGAAAATACCACTCTCCATGGAGGAGCCCAAATTGGAAAACTTGGACGCTTTTTGTATCCTTTCTCCGCACAACCAACAGTCATGAAGTCTTAGAGATCTTGTCTTCTAAATCTGTGACGTGTCCCTTCCTTTCTCTCCCTGTCCTGTCCAGGGCCACTCTCTTTGACCAACACTCAGAAAACCTAATCCCGAGCAAAAGCTTCACAGATGCTCCCTCTGCTTGCAAGGTTTTCCTCCTTTAGCCCATCCTCCATGCTGTTTCCAGGTTGACTCTTTGCAAATGTGAATCTGTGCCACTCACGCCTACTAGGATGGCTATAATTTAAAAACTGAAAATAATAAGTATCAGTGAGGATGTGGGGAAACCAGAACCCTTCTACACTGCTGGTGGGAACATAAAATGATGCAGCCACTGTGGAAAACAGTTTAGCAGTTCCTCAAAAACTAAACAGAATTACAAAACTAAACGGAATTATCAGATGACGCAGCAACTCCACTCCTAGTTATAGATCCAAAAGAACTGAAAACAGGGACTCCAACAGGTATTTATACAGCAAGGTTCACAGCACCATTATTCACAACAGTCAAAAAGTGAAAATAACCCAAGTGTCCAACAGAGGAACAGACAAAAAAATATGGTATATACACACAATGGAATATTATTCAGCCATAAACAGGAATGAAATCCTGATATACGCTACAATATGGATGAACCTTGAAATAAGCCAGACACAAAAGGACAAATATATAATTCCACTTATATAAAATATGTAGAATATGCAAATTCATAGAGTTTCTATTTGGGGTAATGAAAAGGTTTTAGAAATAGGAGGTAGTGATGAGACCACAGCACTGAACACAGTTGAAGCCAATGAATTGTACACTTAAGAGTGCCTTGAATGGCAAATTTCATGATATATATAATTTATCATAACAAAAAAAAAGTGAAAAAGCAAGCAAGTTTTTAAAAAATATAAATTTGATCAAGTTTCTCTCATGCTTAGAATCCTTCAGTTTTCCTAACGCATTCAAGATCATTTTCGGATTCTTTACTTCAGCAGACCTTCATGGCCCAGTTCGTGTTTATCTCTGAAACCTCATAGCTCACTCACCTCTAAGTGCACCCTCTGCTCTACTGTGACAACCACTTGTTTCCTGATCAGCAGTACCAAACTGCCTACCTGTCCTTTTGTACAACTGTTCCTTCTACCTAAAATACCTTCTCCTCTCCTGCTCTGTAGACTCATTTCTAGTCTTCATTTAACACTTAGAGCTTAAGGCAACTTCTCCAGGAAGCTTCACTCCTGATCCCAATCTTATTTAAATGCCCAACTTTCTCTGTTGCCATAGTACAGAGGGTCTGTACTATAGCAGTTATCATGATGTATAATAACTGTCTCTCACTTGTACAAGTTTCTTGTATCTTATCTCTCTCTCTTCCTCCAAGTCTACTGAGTGTCACACAGTAGGTACTGAGTAAATGTTTAATGATTCCATTCCACAGAACTTCATCAAGACCCTTTTAAAGCACCAGCTCTCTACTCGAAACTGACAGTACCACAGAAAAGGTGAACATTTTCATACATTCCTCTTTGTTTAAAAATACCCAACACTCTGAGGCTACATGAGTGAAGTCAGCCTCTTATCTATGGACTGGCTTTCGTGAACCTTCCTGAACCTCCAGGAAGGACACTAAATAATCAGCACTTTGTAAAATCCTAAAGTACTTTGACATCCAAAATTTCATTAACAGGAATAGAAAATGGTGAGATAAAAGGAGGATTGGAGCAGAACGGAAAGGCTCTGGAATAGATAATGAGCAAACCAGTGGGATGTATGCTTTCTTTCCACTACCATTCTATGCCCCCTTCAAATAGGGGATGGAATATGTCAAAGATGGTCCAGGACTTACCTGCTGCCACTGGTTGCTGATATTTCTATTCTTGTTGAAAGAAGATAGGTAAAGGGATTCTGAGAAAGATTTTCCACCACTTTTTCTGTCATGATTCCTGACCTGGAAGGAAGGAGGCTTTGGGTCACCCCCTACCCAGACGTCTGGGAAACGGACAGCATGACTGTGCTCAGGTGCAAGAAGTATCTTCCCTGTCCAGCTACAGAGAGAGGAAGCTGGGTGCAGTGAAGAAAATACCACATCAGGAATCAAGTATTTTAACTACTTGTGTGATGTTGGGCAAGCTGCTTCTTCATTTTCTATAATGTGAGAAGTTACCTGTGTAATCTTTAGTGTGTTGTTTGCTGCCAAAAAATAATAATCTGTCAGTACTTTGCATGCTTCTAATATTTCCCCGAGCACTGACGACATCATCCCATTGACCCCCAAAACCAGTGTAAGGTCTCAGCCACGGCCCCATGCGACACAAAACCGTGCTGCCTCTAGTGTTCACTGTTCCCATTTCAATCACCACAATCTTATTTAGACACTAAGAAAGAACAGTGCTGCTTATGATTCTGAAGAATAAGGAAGAAAATAAAAAGGACTAACAGTCACTTCTAGCTCAAGGTAAGTGGGGAGTATTAATTGATAATTTAGGATGGAAAACAGAAAATAGCTCTAGACAGACTGTCACTTGATCCACTGTGGTTTTCATGCCTACTCAAGTTAATGGAGGAGACTAAGAGAATACAGACAACCAAAAACAGTAGATAATCTCCCAATCTGTTATACGTGGCTTGGGAAGTGCTTTGGTATTTACACTTGAATAACACTCATTCTGCTGTCTTGGGAATTGAAGCTGAATTATAAAGTGTATTGGGAATAACTAAGTTAAAAAGAGCTAGGATGTTTCATTATGTCCTCATCTCAACCCCCAGCTCAGAACTTTTCCCTTCATTCACGATGAAGAACTATCATCAACTTTTACATATGTAAAGCACAAGCCTAAGATGAGTTGCTCTAAACTGCTATCATTATTTTCCCCTGATGTGATTGACTGATTGACTGACAGGATCTCACTATGTTGCCCAGGCTGGTCTCAAACTCCTGTGCTCAAGTGACACTCCTGCCTCAGTCTCCTGAGTAGCTAGGACTACAGGTGCATGCCACTGTGCTCAGCTTGCTGTAATCCTTACAACATATAAACCCTAGCTTTTGGGAAGTTATTAAAGAGTATCTGGGGTTGCAAGCTACAGAAAGCAATAAAAATAAATAAGGAAATATTATCTACTTGGCTTAATAAATATAGAAAATAAGAGTTTTATATAATTCAACTGACCACGGATAACCAAGGGTTGGTTATTATATACATGATGAGTAAGGTAAGAAGCGATTATTATTTTTACCCAAACACGCAAGAAGATGTTTTCCTCATGGTCAAGTATTTTGATAAGGAAGACAAGTATATTACTGAGGCCATAAACATCAAGCAAATTAGCCTATGTTTCTACGTCTTTTTTGGACTCCAGTTGACCCTCCCAGATACCTAATAATCTTCAGAGTTGGATGGAAAAGTTCCATGTCAATCAATGACAGAAGTAGCATTTGGGTGGATAAATAATTGCCCGTGTACTTCTGAAATGCATGTACATAGAAATAATTAATGATTTAAAAAGGAATATTTTTCTCTTCTCTCTAGAGTCAAAGATTTCATGGAGTTGGAGGAACAAATTCACTTACTGGGTTGGGTCTGAATCACTTCCTTTGCGTTTTCTTGGAAACTCTGTCACATGTGAGCTGAAGCATCCAACAGCTGTTGGTTTTGTACCTGCGCTCATGTGACTGGGAACCCCAGGCGCAACGCACTGGTTCTCCTCCATCAACACTTTGCCTGTGAGAGATAAAGCACAATCAGACGTTCATTTTAAACGTTAACTTTTACTTTACGCACATCCATATCACACATTTTAGTGACTTTTCTATCTTGATATTTTAAAGATATGAGCCAAAACCAACATAACAGAATGAAAGGCTAATTATACTCAAATGTTAGTTAGAAATGTTAGTCTGTATTTTTATTTTCCCCATCTAACTGTAAAAGAAATTTGAATATCGTAGAAAATATTGAAAACACAAAAAAGTAGAAAGGAAGGGGAAAAACCAAATTCTACCAACCAAAGTTACAATTTTGAGATGTTTCTTTTTAGAATTTTTTCTATAGTTATCGTTAAAGTAATTGAAACAATAGAGTATACAGTATTCCCCTCTTAGCCGAGATTTTGCTGTCCATGGTATCAGTTATTGTGGTCAAACTTAGTCTCAAAATATTAATAGTAAATTCCAGAAAGGCACAATTCATAAGTTTTAAATTGTGCACCACCATTCTGAGTAGCATGATGAAATCTCACACCATCCCACTCCGTCCCCACCCAGGATGTGAATCCTTCCTTTGTCCAGTGTATACACTACCTTCCCATTAGTCACGCAGCCATCTTGGGTATCAGATCCACTGTCATTATCACAGTGCTTGTGTTGAAGGAACCCTTATTTTACTTCATAATGGCTCCAAAGCGTAAGAGTAGTGAGGCTGGCACATTGTTATCACTTTTCTATTTTATTACTGTTGTTAATCTCTTACTGTGTCTAATATATAAATTAAACTTTATCATAGATATGTATGTATAGGAAAAAACAGACTATATATGGGGTTCGGTACTATCTGCAGTTTCAGTTATCCCCTGGGGG